TGTAAGTTGGCCTATTGAAAGATCAAAAGCGTGATCTTCAAGGAAAATACCCAACAATTGGTAATTGTCTTCTAATCAGAACGCCAAAACTTCACCCCGAAATCAAGCCTGCCTTATCGGCACTGGCGATAAACAAAGACCACTACTAGTTCCTGGTCCCAAATCAGCTGGGAGCGGGAATTAATACAGGTAAGATCCTAGCAGATTTGCACCATGACATGTAGAAAACAAGAAAATTCTTTATTACACCAGGATTTAATCCTATGGTAAAACATAATGCGGATGAATGTTCAATCGATAGTCCATTATTCGGAGAAAAATTCTCCGAAAATCTCAATGTCGCAAAAGTCATGGAAAAAGCTTCCAAGGATGTGATACAGCAAGGGGCTAGCGGCTACCGGAAGAGTACCACGTCTCGAGATGAAAATCGTAGATACCAGTCATCCCGTTGGAAGAAAAATAGATATTCCAGCCATCATCAAAGCGAGAATTTAAACTGGCGTCGTTCCTTCGGTATGAGCTACCGAGACATTCTGCGGAAGGGACAGAAATCGAAAGAAATCGGCCCAAGGGGATTCGTCAACACAAGGATTAGACTTGGTGAGAATTGCGGGTAGAATTCAGTACTTTCTCCCGTACTAGAAAAAACTGATTGATCTGTTTATATTGCAATGTGTAAAAAGCTATATTATTCTAATCGAGTACCTACCGCAGCCACAATTAAAATACGTGTAACCGAAATTAACAGTACAAGAAAGTATTGCTTGTGAGTCAGAGATTCGTAAATTGATTAGAAAGGGTGCAATATCTAAATGTGACTCTAATAGAAACAATTTCATTTCGGAATAGTTTTTTTATTCCTTAGTCCAATGGCGATATTCCAAATAAATGTTGCTCACCCCTCCATTTTAAAATGGAAGATAAAAAGACTGCGATATGTTTAATGGGTAAAAATTTATTCATAACATCGATAGATCTCAAAGACTCTTATTTTTTATTTCCAGTGGAGAAATTTTGTAGAAAATATCTTAGATTTAGATATAAATCCAGTTTGTACGAATTCAACTGTGTTCCATTTGGTTTATGTATGGCCCCATTCGTTTTCACAAAGTTATTGAAACTGATAGCCCAACATTTAAAATCAAAAGGGTTTTTGTCAGTATTTTATCTGGACGATATACTGTCACTTGGACAGTCGGCACAAGTATGTTATGAAAATCTTAGGCAAACGAGAAAATTACTGGCAGCTGTTGGTTTGATACTGAATTTAGACAAGTGTAAGCTAATACCTTCGAAAGAATTAAAGTTCTTTGGTTTTCTGTTTAATTCGGAAGAATTATGTTTAAAATTAACAAAAGAAAACAGGGTACAGATAAGTAAATTAGCAATGAAATTCCGAAATATCCATTGTTGTAAAATTAGAAAATTCGCAGAATTTATTGATATTGTGGTAGCAGCATGTCCCGCAGTTAGATATGGGATGTGTTATATACAACAAATTTGGAACGCGCAAAGTTCTTTGCTTTGAAAAGAATCAACGGTAATTTCGACGCGGATATGTTGATTTCGAAAGAATTAATTCTAGATTTCGAATGGTGGATTAATATTATAATGACATGTGTTAATCCGATTAGGGAAAATCGTTTCGAGATGGAGATTTTTAGTGATGCACCCCTAACTGGCTGGGGGGACGGCTTGTGAAGGAGAACAAACGCATGTGTTTTGGAGTGAAACGAAACGAGAGGAACATATTAATTTTCTTGAACTAAACCTGTCTTTTTACGGGCTGAAATGCTTTGCTAAAAGTAAGATTTCGTGTGAAATACTATTACGCATTGACGATACAACAGCGTTGCCGTATATAAATCGAATGGGCGGTATTCAATTCCCTAAATTGTCAAAGTTAGCAAATGAAATCTGGCAATGGTGCGAAGCAGGTTATGTGTAGATTCTTGCTTCTTACATTAAGTCAAGCGACAATATAGAAGCTGTCGCAGAGTCGAGTGTTGGGTAGCAGTGAAATAAATTAATGTTTACTGTTGATTTTCTTTATTTTAATTAATGTCTTCATTGGACACAATATTTAATCTCGATTTCTTTGCAGTGGACACCGCTTGGGCTAGGATACCCTGAGTCCCGGATAATACGCTTAGGAGCTGTTGCCCTGATTTGTAATATATACAAATCCCTAAGGTAGATGATCAATTCACGGGAGATGTTAAAATAACAACTCTGTGAAGTCATTTTCCTAAAGAAAGTAAGTGATTTGATCAAATCCCTTAACTGTTTTAGTGAAGAGATGAAATAATATTGTTTAGATATTGAAAGAATTAATTTAGTAAATCATGCCTTATTAAGTGTAGAGTAGGTAATACAACAATAGTCGTAGAAACTATTCGTACTTAAGCTGATATTTTAAAACACAAAAAGGATATTTTTAATGAAATTTTAAACATTTTTAGTCAATGTAATTAATAAATAAATACGTTTATTCATTTTTATTAAAACACGCGTAAGATTGCAGGAAAATTATCCTTATTTGGGGGTTAAGGATTTAAGAAATGTTCCTGTGAACAATCCAAAATACAATGTAGAACAAAAAAATGTGCCTGTAAAAGAAGTAACGGACTTTGTAACTCGGGATGCCACAAATCGACAACGTGTTTTAATAAAAATGAATGAACATTATTATTTATTAATTACATTCCCTAAAAATATTCTTTTCGTTTTTTAAAATATCAGCTTAAGTACCTATTTCTTTTGCTAATTAGTCTCGAATAAATAATTTATGTTTCTATGAGTATTGTTGTATCGCCTATTCTACTTTTAATAACGCATGATTTACTAAATAAATACTTTCAATATCTAAACAATATTATTTCATCTTTACACTAAAACAGTTAAGGGATTTGATCAAATCATACTATTTCATCTTTTCGCTAAAACAGTTAAGGGATTTGATCAAATCACTTACTTTCTTTAGTCTTACATCGAATCTCTTCTTACATCAAATCTCTATTTTTATCATTTCCCTGCGATATATACATATGCGTTAACATATAACGAAATAATTTGTGTCGTGCACGACCGTATTCGAGCTCTACGCAACATCGAGAGTAGAGCAGACCGAAACCGAGTGGGAATTAGCAGTTCGGGTTTATAAAAAGGTAGAATTTACATTTGGAATATTTGACATAGATTTGTTCGCGTCAAACGTAAATGCGAAATGCGAAAAGTTCATCTCCTGGCACAGGGACCCAGAAGCTTGGGATGTAGACACGTTTACGGTGCCGTGGACTGGCATGTATTTTTATGCTTTTCTGCCATTCGCCATGGTTTTAAGAACAATTCGGAAAATAATTTCGGATAAAGCAGAAGGGTTTTTAATAGTGGTGTTTTGGCCTACATAGGCGTGGTTTCCAATTTTTAAAGCGTTTTTAAAGAGTCAATTTTGTTTAATCCTGAAGATGATTTGTGTTGAGGTATTTCAGTTAAATACTCAATTAATAGTATTATTAATATACAGGCCCAACGTCAATTTGTTTATTATAAAATGGTCAATAATATACACACACTAATTGTGGCGATACAACAAGAATAATAATACTACAATGGAAAAAATAACACTTGTTTGATTAACACGTGCTCACTCACAAAAAGGTCTCTCGAAGGAAGAGAGGAGACAGGCGTAAGAGCACATGTTATCAGGCAGAAAAAGGAATTACGTACATACGCTCCATTTGCTAAAACTCCATTTACTTGAACAGTCCACTTCAACAATTTGTTAATTGATAATTCCAAGCAACACCACCCGTTACGAGCGTCGCTTTCTCTGGTTGCCGGAAGATTATCAGGCAAGCTTTCATGTTAAAAAGAGTTCCCCCAGACTCCATTCCAGTGGCGATGAACCCCTTATCAGACGGGACAATCAAGCAATATCGAAAACCATTAAATTTATGGTGGGAGTTTTGTCAAGAGAACAAGATATGTGCTTGTTAGCTACCGATTCCAAAAGTTCTGGAATTCTTAACTCATTGTTTAGGCCAAACAAGAAAATACGGTACATTAAATTCATACAGATCAGCCCTGGCGGTAGTTGTGGGGGAAGAAATAGGACAACATTCTAATTAAAAGATTTTTTCGAGGTGTGGCTCACTTAACACCTCAAACTCCGAAAAATGAGGAAATCTGGGACCCTTATCCAGTACTATATTATTTGAGGACCCTTTGGCGCCACGAAACATTATCCTTTGAGTTACTCAATAAGAAATTAGTTATGCTATTAGCGCTAGCTACAGCGCAAAGAGTACAAACACTAACCAAAATTAGAATTAGTAATATAAAAATATATGATACAGAAACTAGAATTAAGATATCTGATAGAATGAAAACACCAGGTCTGGGATGAACACAGCCGTTGTTGCAATTGACGTTTTTCAAAGAGCAACCACAATTAAGTGTGGCAACCATTTTATGCCAGTACATAAAACAATCGACAAAAATAAGAAAGCAAAGCGAAGATATGCTATTATTATCGTATAGGAAGCCACATGGGGTGGCGACGCAACAGTCAGTAGGGTGGCTTAAAAGTGTTATGACTAAAAGTGGGGTTGATACAAAGAACTTTGGTTCGCATAGCACAAAGCATGCCTCAACATCCGCGGTGTCTCGTAGAGGTGTGGATATTGAGGCGACTCGAAGAGCTGCAGGTTAGACCGAAAAATCAAATACGTTTAAACGGTTTTACAATCGGCTTGTGATAAAAAATACGAGTATAGCGAGATCGGTTATCGGGGCAGAATTTTACGTTTAAGTATATTACAAAAATAAGATTGTTAAGACTGTTGAGAGTTATGTTTTACCTACTTTAAATGTATCAAATTCAAATTGCAATAATCTTTAAACATCTACCTATCCATCTATTCGGACAAGACGTCTAGCATAATCACGATCGAACATCACTTAGGTAAGTTCGTTTGATCTTACAATTTTATAGTTGCTCAACAATCCTGAAAATGTGGTCGCTGTAACGAGTTTTTGCATAATTCTAAAGCGTTTGCAGATGTGCTTAATAATTGGCTGGCTAATTTAACTTTCATTTTGTTCTTATAAAAATCTATACGTTTAGTTCTAAGTTTGTTACCAAGATGTATTAGGTTGTCCCAAAAGTTTCTTCCATTTCCTTAAATAGTAATACATACACAACATTTTATGTATAATGTTACATTATTGAATTGCGTACAATTCATTTTGCTCCATTACAGTTACGACATTAACATCTAAGAAATTGGGTTGTCTAATTCTATAAACACTGCCACACAAAATAACTGAATGCATAATAATTTTCCTTTTCTTGCATTTCATGTAACTCTTCAAAATGTTTCCATTTAATTTTGTCATTATTATTATCCAAAAGTTTCTTAGCAGTGCCAACAGTATTCCGTACCAACTTCGACATGTGACACGAATCAAGATATACATTAACTTTAGTGTCATTTGCTGGATGTTTAAACCATGTCTTAAAATTATTAGGATCATCAAATTTGCAACCTAAATTTTGTAATACTTTTAAATTAGTTGATAATCCATTGCATGTCAACGATACCACCAACATTCCAATTTCATGTATTCCAGTTAAAGATTGTATTGTCGCGATGGTGTGAAGATGTTGCGACGATGTGAAGTTGGGGAAACGGTATGAAGATGCCGCGCTACAGTTCCGAGTTACATCATCGCGACGGTGTGAATATGTTGCGACGATGTGAAGTTGTGGAAACGAGTTCTCGCGCTTCCGGTTGCCAGGAAGCGGCAAACTTTTAAAATAGAAGAGAGTGATTCGAGATCTCAAAGAGAGAAGACGTTTCGCTACAAGTCTCCAAGATTATCGTTGTATTATCGTTAAATTGTTAAAAGTTGTAGTTTGTTAATAAACGTTATATTTAGTTTAAATGAATTCTCGTGCTTCAACCCCCCGGCGTAACACATATTACATTTTGCTTTTGGTCTGCAGTTATTCCGTTTATTAAATAGTAAGCAATCGGTAATTTCCACATTAGGTGTAAACATACAACACAATAGTTGTAAATATATCAAGAGTCCATAAATCTATGCAAATTCGAACAGCATAAAATCAGCTGTCATTAAAGGTGGAAAGTTACATATCGATTAGTAAATCCCACGCCAAGTTACATCATATAATAGGTATGTTGCGATAACAATAGTTATAAACAATAAAAGAATTCATAAATTTTTGCAACTGTAATCATTGCGAAAACCTCTCCGGCAACAAAATGTAAGAGGTTTCATCGATTTCATCGATTTTAGGCCAAACATATTTGAAATAGTACGTTTTTTGTGATAAAAAGTATTATAAAGTGGTAAAAAATAAAACAAGGACAAATGTTTTGTTACGGGACCAAATGGCAAATGCTCTTCCAGATGCAAGAAGTTCCAATCCGTCTCGTAATAAGAAGCAAGACAAAATTTTTCTGTTTTTTTGCTTAAAAACAGGTAAAAAAATGACAAATCATAAAATGTTTTGTTTACGGGACCTACTGGAAGAAATATCCTAGAAGATGCAAGAGGTTTCACTCAGATTGATCAATCAATCTCGACGTGATCGGCAAACGTACCTAAAAATTACGGTTTTTTGCTTAAAAAACAAAAAACGGGTAAAAAATGACAATTCGGAAAAAGTCTTGATAGCAGGACCACCGGGAGGACATGCTTTACAAGATGCAACAGGTTTCATTCTGATTGGAAAAAAAAAAAAGGCGAATTGTGTAACCTCCTCCTTTTCGAAGTTGGTTAAAAACACTAAAGCATCTCTCGCAACTTTTGTTGTATGGCATTCTATATTAACGCCACAATCTACGGAACCGACGAATCTATCTTTATAATAATCGACATGTTGCCGTATTGCCATTTTGTCAAACATTAACGGACTTATCAATCTATAAGAAACAAAATGTGTGCGATGTGTGTAAAGTTAGCCCCGCACATTTCGAATATTTGATTTTTTTAGATTGTGCTACATTGTGCTACGTTTGTGCCGTATTGTGCCGTAAATAAGAGATCGATAACATCAATAACAATTAAGAAAAGAAATAAAACCAAAATTATACTACCCCCGCACTTTTGCCAAAACAAACTTTTTTTTCTATAGAAAGATGCGTACTAACTTGTGCTACATTGTGCCATTGATAGAAACTCGTTATCTCAACTGATTTTGCGGATAAAAAATGTTGAATTTTAAGGAATAAAAAATTTAATATTCGCACAATTTGCGAACAGCGACAGACAATCGAATTCTGCAAGTTGTGCTAAATTGTGTTACGTACAATACACGAGAGTCGTGTGTTAAAAATTCAGATTAACTCGGGGGTCAATAAGAATTAACAGAAAAAGGTGGGGGTGATTAAAAATTTCGATATTTCCGAAATTTCTTTGATTGCGCCGGATTGTGCTAGACTGGCACAACAACTTTTCCTAATTACAAAATCTCAGAAAATGTTTTGTAAGTTTTCTTGGCCCTCGAGCTAATCTGAATTTTTAACGCATATGTCTCATGTATTGGAAGTAGCACAATTTAGCACAACTTGCAAAATTCGATTATCTGTCGTCGTTCGCAAATTGTGCGAATATTAAATTTTTTATTCCTTAAAATTCAACATTGTTTATCTGCAAAATGAGTAGAGATAATGAGTTTCTATCAATGGCACAATGTAGCACAAGTTAGTACGCATCTTTCTGTAGAAAAAAAAGTTTGTGTCGGCAAAAGTGCGGGGCTTGTATAATTTTGGTTTTATTTCTTTTCTTAATTGTTATTGATGTTATCGATCTCTTATTTACGGCACAATTCAGCACAAATCTAGCACAATACGGCACAAAAAAGAAAAACTGAAAATTCGAAAAGTGCGGGGCTATCAAAAATTTTGTTTTGTTCTATTTTCTTGAGTACGCTTTGACTTACAGAGTTGCGGTTTACGGCACAATACGGCACAAACGTAGCACAATGTAGCACAATTAAAAAAAAAATAAAAAATTCGAAAAGTGCGGGGCTAACTTCACACACATATGTGTGTGCGTCGTTTAATAAATTCTATAGCCTCGGCATTAATACCAGGTTCTCCGTTAAATGAAAAATACCATTTTGCTAACGTTTTTAGATGGGGCAACATATTGTAACATTTATACCGTACGTAATTATAAGCCTTTGGCGAATAATAATGTAACGACAATGCAAATTTGCGAACATTTGGTGTATATGTTTTAGGTACAGGCAGATGTTACCAAGTGGTCAAACATTCTATAATCTGATGAAAATAAATTCTATTCATTCAGAAATAACGCCAGTTGTAATGTATAACGGCCTTTTAGTCAGCAATTTAATGTTAAATACTTCAATCTGCTTCTAATAAAACTTGGTGGTGATAATGTGACGATATAAGGCTGTTCCTCGTGTAACGGTCTTATTGTTAGTCCATTAATACAAATAAAAGAACCTATGGACTAATTTGTGTATTGTCATATTTTGCAAAATCACATGCCTCCGTTGATAAAGAAAAGATGTCTACATGGTGGTCATTTCAATGCGATAATGACCTTAAACATTCTTCTATATTCATTAAAACATTTCTCACGGAATAAAATATTAATGTAATCAAGTGACCAAATCAGTCTCCGGTCTTAAATTCCATACAGCATCTATGGAATTACGTTGGACGTCAAATAAAACAGAGTTAATACAAATAATCACGAAAATATGTTCCAAAATAACTACTGAGTTTTGCGTTCTATTAATCGAATCATTACCTCGCAGGTACCATGCAGTTATCAAATTCCAAGGGTGGCCAACATTTTATTAATGTATCACGAAAATTACAGACATTAACATCCATATCGTGATCTTTCTCTACAGTAATTAAATAATTGAAACGAAATATATTTCTTAAATTTTATCATCACGATTTTGTTTGATTTCTTTGATTCGATAATGATTTTGGCCTTTATAAAAGTATAATCGAAGAAATACTTACGTTACCGTATTAAACGTCAGAGTAATTATTTCTCCATGGTATTTTTATTTCTGACCTATGTATCTCGGTGAATAAAAAATATACATTTCAGAAACGATTATTAACTTCCCGATTTATAGGGAAGTTATTGTATTTGCCCTTAAAATGAAAAATCACTTTTTTTGCAGATCTGCATGTTTCAAGGTCATTAGAGTAATTTTAGCCTATTCTTATTAAATTGTTCGCGCGCGTACGTGCGTATGTATGTAAACAAATTTTTCGTTAACGTTTTCTAAAAAACTAATGGCGAGATCAAAATGATCGATGATGCAATCGATGTGTATCAATCTTACTTAGAACTGATTACATTTTGTTCTAATTCGGTCCAGTAGTTTTTTAGTTTTTTTAAGAAAACTTAACTCAATAACGCAATCTAGATGGGAGAATATCAATTTATGAGTGAATAACTAAACGGAAATAATATATATACATATATTACTATTAGTACATTTGTATGCATATGTATAACACATGTCCATATATATACATACAGGGTGCTCCAAAAGTATGGAAACAGTCAAATATTTTTATTTTCTAACTTTTGTCAGTAAATGTATCCACAATTGAAAATTCTACACCGGCTGTATACAGTACGTTTCCGTGAACCGTTCACTCTTTCGATAACGAGGTAAATTTGTATATCAAAGAAAGAAATGCAGGCGGTGGGGAGAAAGTTGGGGTGAGTGGACGCTTCGCGGCGGGTCCGCCGTCGCTGAGGTCGAAATAAATTTTTTATCGCCATATTCCATGCTTCAAAGGACTCCCCCAGTCTGCTCGTCTCATTTGCATGTTGAGTAATAAGTGTTAATTTAATTTTGGGGCGTGCCGTATATGTATATAATGGCCCTGTACATACATCGTGCAGCATTCGCCGGGCCCGTATGCTTACGCACTGTTTATGGGCGTCAAGTGATAATAACTTCTCCCCCGTATAATTAAGTGAGACCATTTGACATAGGGTGTTGAGAGAAAAAGTGCTTGCGAATCGAACAGCAGGCGGTACCTTGAATCTGACCGAATATAAGTAAATGGGACTTTTGATTTCGATTATTACGGCTGGGTAATTTAAACGCAAAGGTCTTCTACGCGATTGTATCATAATTTTTGACCGTTTTTTAATTAGACTCAACGAAGAAGTGAAGTTGTGTAGAACGAATTAAAAGCTGTGTAATAAGAAGAATAGTGACAGATAGGAAATTACTCATTTCAAATGAGGCATGAGGCATTAAAACCATAAAAAGTCAGTCTATAGAAAAATGTCATCACATTGATGATTGGTGACGAAATGTGCTACTTCGCACCATCTACAAGAAGAAGAAATAGAAGAATATACAACAAATAAAACAGCAAAAGAATTTCATCGGACAGTAGACGTCGTCATGCAGACAGAAACTGCCACTGACGAAGAGGAATATCAGAAAAAGTCGTAGAAAAAGAAACGACAGAATCAGAAGAAAAGTTACGTCGATCTGACGGGCTTAGCATTGTTGACCTGCACCACGTTTTCGAGCAAAATAAATTGATCGGCGAACACTCAGAAACGTTTGAACGTTCAACAAGGCACCTGGAAATAAAACGTGTGAAAAGATCGGGTTTAAATTCGACCCTTATTCTAGAATCCAGGATGTGCAATTATAGAGCCTAAGTGCACAGCCAACCTGAAAATGCTCAGGTAATGAATACAAATGAGAATGCAGTTGGAGCAAACATTCTCAATGGAGGCGGCTACGCACAAATGGACGAATTTTTGACATCTATCAACGTCCATTGCATGTCAAAAAAGAAATATAGAAAATGTCACGACCACATCGTGAATAAATTAATCGCTGCTGCCGAAACAGAAATGATAGCAGCGGCAGAAGAAGGAAAAAGGCTAGCTGTTGAAAGAGGTGATGTCCTTTCATGTGGAATTCCACATATTCCTGTAATTGCAGACGGAAGCTGGATGAAAAGGTCGTACCGAACTGGAAAGTACGACTCGCTGTCCGGTGTTGGTGTGATCATTGGTTATCACGCAAAGAAAGTATTATTTATTGCCGCGAAGAACAAAATTTGATGTATATGCCGGAAACCAGCCACAAAAGAAAAAGACCCGCCACACTATCAATGTTTTACAAACTGGGGTAGACGTCAAGCATCTACCAAGATGGAGAGCGATGTCATCGCAGAAGGTTTCAAGAGCAGTGTCCAAAAAAGAGGATTAATTTATTCGACACTGATTGCTGATGGCGATAGCAGCGTCTATACAAAAATTTTAGACTGCGACCCGTATAAAAATATGATTCGTGTAAAGAAAATTGAATGCACGAATCACTTGTTGCGCAACTTCGGCAGCAAGTTAAAAGAAATTGCGAAGAAGACTCCGCCGGACTGTTATAGACAAGCCATCGAAAATAATATTCGACGGATGCGTATGGAAATTGCAAAAGCTGCAGAATATAGATTTAATGAAAATGCTTTAATATTACAGAGACGACAAAAATTACTAGAAGATATTATGAATGTATCCAGCCACGTGTTTGAAAAATATAAACACTGGAAAAGAATTGGATATTTCTGCAACGGAACAATGGAGGAGAATGAAAAAACATCATCCCACATTTATTAAACCTGGGAGTCTACCAGAAAATAGAAGATATTCTTCAATCGTTGGCGGCACACGCAGAAAGCTTACTGTACCGAACCAATAATAATACGGTAGAAAGTTTAATACCATCATTGCCAATTATATTTGCGGAAAACGCATTAATTTTGGCCAAAGAGGATCATACACAGGAAGATGTGCCGCTGCTGTAATTCAGTATAACACTAAAGAAGTGAAATTTATCTTTGAAGATTTAAAGAAAGAAAAACATACAGTGTTTATAGCTACGTATAAACAGGAAGGAGCAGAATACAAACCAGTAATGGAGGCTAAGCACATGATTTTGAAGGATGATTTAAACAGTTTAGCAGACGATTTGGGTATGCCTCCAGAAAGGTAAAGAAAGGTACTGAAGATAAAGTATGGAAAATCTTTGAAGATTTAAAGAAAAAAGAACATACACTAAAGAAGTGTTGTCTCAATTACAGAGACCGTGTGAAAAAGGCCCGCCACGGCTTTTACTAGATATGAAGAATTCAAAGAAGA